TTTTAAAACGAATATAATTTTTGTGCAAAAACCAGCTGCAGGAATGGCCTATATATATATCGTTGAATTCTATTGAAACGAAGTGAATAGAAAAAAGAAAGAAATATACTTTTATTTAAATATTACAAATTGCTTCACTTTCAATCTCCAATTCAAAGCACTTCGAGTGTTCTGTTGAACATCTTAACTACAGAAAAACAGCTAATTTGAAATTGTAATCACTAACGAAGCACTCACAGAATTCATTTTAAAACTTCAAATATAGCAACACGCTGCAAAACAGTCTCCCTAGCAACGACAATTAATACAATATGCAATACATTGCTGGCTTTTCTCCTATCTTCTGAAGTTAACTCCAGTGTAGCAATTAATGGATCGTGCTTTAATTTTGATAAAAAGATAGCTTCATATAAATGAGGGCGAAGTAGAGATGTCTCTTATGTGGTTCAATTGGCGGAATTGAGTCGCAGATTGTCTAATTGGTAAAATGTATTTTTAAACACGGAACAGGGCTTTAATAGAATTAAGGACCGAGACGATTTTGGCCTAGATACTATATTACGAGTATTAGAGTGAACTAGGAGAATATCACAGGTTACGTGACGACATGAAGAGCAGAATATCTAAATTAAAACAATGTATTTAATATGTGTTTTGTGAAAACCAATCTTTATATTTTGTTGCTGCAATGAATTTGCCAATAACCTACTATATGTTATTTAATGTTATGGTTATTGTATATCCTGTTAAGTTGATAAGAATATCAACAAATAAATATATACTATTCCTATAATTCAGCAATGATTAATTTTAATAAAGCGAACAGTAAACAAAACCAGTTATGCTCTTATTAAATTATATATTCATTAATAACTCTATTAAGTTATGACACTGATAAGGCCAAACAAACAACTGTATTTTAGAATTATTCACACATTAAAACATTTCTTGTTGCTTTACGCATACATCATGTTGAGAACTTTCTAGAATTTCTTTGAAAACAAATTCTACATATACTTTTCTTAGCCGAATTTAAAGGCATTTGCATTACCAACTCATTGACGATGAAGGTGTTTGCTAGTGATGCAATATACGAATGCCAAAGGCACAATCGTGTGCTCCTTATCGCGAGGTATATTATGTTTATCAGACACTTTATTATTATTAAATAGCTCTCCGCAGATATCGCACAACAACAGAATTATTTACATCTGACAGTTATGTGTTATACATCAATGTCACTATCAAACAATATCGTTCAGATTAATCGCTGGTGCTATAAATACTATGACAAACAACGATGCATAGCAACTACTCCGTGGTTGAAGAGATGTGCGAATGTGTGTATAAAAGTATACCAATCACCAATTGAAGCGGGGCCTTAATTGTGTTGTTTACAACTGGTAACGAGTTTGGATTCGCTCGGCCCTCACCAGGCTCACCAGATGCAGTTTTCTTCGTCGATTTCCCTCTTAATACTGAGAAATATATATGAATGGCCAAAAATTATACAAATTAGAACATTCCATGTGTTATACATGAAAATATATTAGGAACCCCGATGAAGACCAATTACTAAATCTTATCATATTTAATACTAAAATCCGTACAAGTTATCATTATTTATTAACTAAAATATCATTATTTAATAACTAAAATATCATTATTTAATGACCAAAAATTGAGTCAATCGTCGGGTTTATCTGGAGTTTGTAAAGGGGTTTTAATCCGAATGTGGCCGCTATCGCCCATCATGGAAATTGGTTTCGATTTGATTTATTTCGCTTTGAAGTGAAAGAGAAGTCGGCTAAATCAATAATCAATTAGTTGCCGCTTAATTAGATTGGTCCGATATGACGGCACGGCAGAGTTTGGCCTAAGGCTTTCATTTGCCTAAATATTCAACTACAGTCAATTCGTACAATTAATATTCAGCAGTAACTGTTATTGTAAACTGTGATAATTTTAAAGTACAAAAATAAATGTACCTTATTCAATGGGAAGGGGTCATATGATTAAATGTTAAAATATATGTGTTAATTAGTTGTTAATATTATAAGAATACATTTCGATGTCGAATTGTCGATAAGTCGATACTATAGTGAGCCGATTCAACGAAACAAAGGGATGATAATAGTTTAAGGAATTGTCCTAATATCATATATGGGCACAAATATATGCAAATTGTGTCACAAAAAATCCGTGGAAATAATCATAAATTATAATAAAGTCGGTTATATTATTTTTGGCCGTCTTCGTTTGAAAATTATGAAATGTTCTTTGGCCATTTGTTAGGCTCAAACTTTAACAATTAATAACTCGTAATAAAGTAGAAACAATGAAGAGCCGATACAAAGTTAGAACAATTTATGTTTAACAGAATAATGGACCAAACTTTGTGAACTCTTCAAAGGGAATTATTTAGCGGACATGACGTTAAGACAGTTTCAGGGATAACAGGGTCCCTGTTATCCCAGAAATATATAAATGTATATTAATTATTTTGGAAATGAATTAACCGGCTAATATGAAGTACACTTAAGGGTTGTTGATTTCCATTACTGACCTCTTTCGAAGCCTCACCCTCCCCAGATAAAGATCAACGTGTATATGAAAATCCTTCTTGACATTCGAAAGAAACAATAAAAAGGTTAGGTTACATACTTATTATGAAAAATTATTCATGATTCATATAAAAGTGGAAAAATAAGTAATGTATTTTTCTGGAATTTATTAAACCGTCTCTTATAAATTTAATTCCTGAAATAGCAATTGGCAGGTTGTAGCGACCGCATTGTCTCATTGAAGGTAATCACGAGAGCAGCCATCGTCTTGTTTAAATCACTGCGGTTAGAAAGTGAACCCCTCTATAAATTGCCTATTGTGTAAGGGCTACCACATGACATAAGCTACAAATTTCGCGTTCTACTAATATCATGATGTATTAAATGCTCAGATACGAACGTACAATTTAGAAGTTACCCACGCACCTATACTTACGTACTTAATCTTTAGTTTTATTCTTAGACGTCATCTAATGTTTTATGAGAAGGTAAATAGGACGAAGCAGCCCATTTGTGAATGGCAGCTTACTGACCTCGTTTAGACTTTTCTCGTTCTTTTGTTCTGCTCTTGTACTAGCCCTTAAGACTGTTGTAATATAACACTTTGACATTTTGTTAGAAGACTTCGAAACGTTTAAAATAATTAATCCGCTTCAGGCTGATCTCAACGTTACTTTGTTTTAAAACTTTGTATATTATTCCTGATCACAGTAGACGACGTATGGTTATCACAGTACTTTTAAGTTAAACATATTTGTAAAACTTTTTAAAGTAATGTGTGTACATAAGGATATTCGGGGATATGGGATAGTCTGATTAATTATTAATTTAACTATAGAAAGACTATATATTTGCAAATGTATCTATATTTAAGGTGCCTTTGGCTACCTTGTTTGCGAAAATGGCGTCACGTACAAATCAATTTCCAAACAGAATCGATAAAGGCAAGATTGAACGCCACGAATTATTATTGCTTCCAGTCACGTACGTTTGTGGACGGAGCCCTAGTTAATTGTAATATCTACTTCGTTGAAGTTAAAAAATCTTTGCGTTCACACTTAAATATCATTTACCTACCACAGAAAAAAAATACTAGTGATACCTCTGTTCGTTTGTTTTATGGATAGTGGAACCAGGCATAGGAAGATAAAATTGTGTAAAATGAGAAGGCGATTACAAATTCAGTATGACGTGATCCAAAACTGGTATCGATGAAGATGGGGTGGACCATCCTCCATCACCAACCGGTTCGAAAGACCAGTAACAACTGGTTTCGAGCCGGTTCTTTTAAAGCTATTAGTTTTTGCCGGCTCGGGCTTGTGATTTAGGAGTGAGTTTTCGATAGGAATAGGGAATTAAGAGAAACGAGAACTTAATTTTTTGAAACTATGTATTTTTTATAATTTCTACATTTTCTTTTTTACCGTCTATGAAATAAATATCAATTATAAACAATTGATTCATTTTATTGTTAGTTTTGTATATGTCGACATTTCAAGTTTAAAAAGGTTTTTATGTTATTTTTATGTTTTTTTGATGAAAGTGAACTCTAGGACTATGATATTGTGCGTTTAAAAAACACTGGACCCTACAAACATTTAGATTTGTTTAAAAACTGTTCGGATTCAACAAAGTTCTGTACACTGGAAGAAGAAAATGCTTCATCATTGAAGTCCGGTCGCCTCGTCGCCTCTAAGGTACGGTTAGTCAGTTACAAAAGGTCTCAACACACTGGACTACGAACGCCGCATTGCGCGTTCCATAGAAAACAATCTTATAAAAATTACAATCTTTATATTAACTTAAATAACTTAATACTTGTTATAACTATAATAATAATAACCTGAGATCTTTGCAGTATATTACGACGCGGACACCCGCGCCTCACCGTATTGCCTTCGCTCGTACGGCTCTATGATAAATACTATCTCAACATTATAATCTGCACGCGGGTTTACGCCCTTCGTTTAAAGTATATCTTCTCATTTAAATTTTATACATTACAAAAGTAGTATCACAAACAAATGTACGAACTAGTACAATTACGAAAACGTACACATATCTGACCCCTCGCGAGATCGCCTCTAATAAATACAATCACGATACAAGTAATATATCGACTCTACACAACTTCAGAATAGAATTATTGAACTCGAAACAAAAATAATAGATAACACTACTCGAGCAGGACTCGGTATCACACGCGCGGCGGCGGCTGAGATCTCGGTGCGCACCTGAACGCCGCCGCGCCAAGCACTCGCTCTCTCGCTCACTCACCCTACTCTATCTATACATTACATATCACGCTGTGCTTTTCTCTTATTCAAAATATAATATACATAATATAATCATATTGATATTTGTTAAAATAACGATACGTAGACGTCGAGGAGGGCAATCAGTCGGCTCGCTCGCACCACGCGCTTTCGCAGCCGCTCACTCGGCTTGACTCCGGAAGAGCTTTTTCTTCTCTATCGTGAACTGGGGGCTGATGATGATGGTGCCGCCTCGCGTTAAATTTCTGTAAAAAACAGCAAACGTGAGCATTCCAGTTGAGATTTAAACGAATTCGATCGAGTAAAATTTGCCATCGATTGTGAAACTTACTTTAAGAATTGCGGCAACAGGCTCGTCCAGTTCGTGGCGTCATGTTCTAGATGAAGGTGTATTTCATGCGTCGTCAATGTGTTGGGATCTATCTTGAAAGCCGCCAGCCGCCTCCCCGCTACGTCGACGATGACCGCCGCGCCTCTCGAGCCGCAGGGCTCTCCTTCCGCCAGCGCCAGCGTCTGCCTCGAGGCCCTAGCGAGCAACTCGGCCGGCACTAGGACCTCTGCGGTGGCTAGCTCGCTGGCACCTTTGGCCGCTCTCAGCTCTCTCTCGAGCCTCTGAGCCAGCGCCGTTTCCGTCGGAACCGGCACCGGTGCTTCCCGCCACGTCGGCCCATTCCACGCTGTAACAAAGAAGACAAAATTTCATTTAAATAATTCTACTGTTGGAATAAACAGATGTTGCGTCAGCTGACTGTGACGTTTGGCCTAGACTCCCGGTTGGAATCGGTGTATCCAAACAATACACTAAATACTTATAAAATATTAGTAATCGCAATATTTCACATAAGAATTAGTATAGCATCAATAGTTAAGATAATGGTAGATTTCGTCAGATATCAGAGGTGGAGAGTTGCGCGCGCCGCTTAGCAACAGCTGAGCTCCGCCGGTTAGAAAGCCAAGTTCCCTCACCCCTTACAAATGAATAGAAAGTAGACTAACCTTTTTCACTATTGAATCCGACGTTAAACTGACTCGTGACCGGCAGGATTTCCATATTTTCCAAATTTTTACTTATATTGTACACTTTTAATAGCAAAAAAATAACTTGTTCCGTTTCGGAACTTTTATACTAGAAAAATATCACAAGTCTCTTTTGTACTGCGAATGCGCACTGAACAGCCGGCTTCTAGACCGGGACTAGCTAAAGTATAGAGATCGTTTGGGAATAGAAAATGTCCGAAGTTAACACGACCTCATCAGATCTGATCTCGTAACCACAGGGCTTGTCTCTCACCCTCGGCTCACCGTTCGACCCACCCGACCCTGTCGCTTTCTGTGACGGACTGCCGCTGCTGGCGGTGCACGCCACTTTTATAGAGAGTCCAGGGCGGGGGTGAGCGGGGGCTCTCCGCGGCCGGCTGCGGGCTCCCCTCACGCCAGTTCCCGTCGCTCGCGTTATCGGAAGCACGTCGCTCTGTTGCTCCGCACCGGCTTCTAACAAAAAGCCGGCCGGCATCCTTTGTCTCGAATACTCAGTAACAATTTTTCGCCTTTTTTTTTTAAAAACAAGTCCAAATTAAATTATCAACAGTGATATCCTCCCTCGTGGTCCGCAATTATTACATTTGGATAGAATATACGAATAAAGGTCGAATATCCTAAAATATGTGATTTAGCTATAAGTAAAATTTAGGTACAAAGTGTATATTTTTATGTGTTACAATATTCTAAAACAGGCGCTCGTGTATGTATTTAGGGATAAGATATCTGTAATACTAAAAAGATAAGAATTGTTATCGGTCGACTAGACCGAGCGTCGACTTGGCTGGCCTTTTGTTACAATCAGATTATTATCCTTCGAGTACATCTAGTCTAGAACTAATATTGTTTTATTTTTTTTTAACTGTACATAAGTACCTATGTTGAGCGAGGAAAGCTTTTTGATAATTCGATTTAAGATAACTAAAGATTTGTTCGAACACGTCTTTAATGACAAAAAATACGGTCCAAGAAAGTATCAATATTCAATAGTGATAATACATAGGTCCATTGATACAAATTAAGTACTTACCAGGTAGCAACTGTACCGTAAAGTTGTTTAATTACCCGAATGCTGAATACTTATAAACGTCCATAAATCTTGTAATGAAACAAAATCGGAAGTTGCATCATCCTACCAGAAAGTTCCATGTTTACAACTTGCATCAAGCGTAATTGTGTGATTCGTACAAGACGGTGTTGATATTAATATTTTATGTTTTCGCTCAATTATAATTAAGAAAACGTATTTTATCGTATAAGTTATTGTGATAATAAAGATAACATTAAGAATAATAAAGAGATCGAGCTATTTTATTAACTGTAAAAAAACTATTTTTTCTGTAAATCTACCCGATATAAATCAGCGTAGCAACACCAAAGTAAAGGCATAAAAAGAGAAATGGTAAGATTTAGTTGCTAGGCGGCGCCGGCCGGCTTACCGGCCTTGGGCATGACTCATCATCATCGGTGAAACCTATCGAAAAAACACCTAATATTCAACGAGTCGTAACTGAATCGGTCGGTAGCTTTTTATGCATATGTCAATTCAACAGAATTCTGCTAGAAGTAAGAAGAGTAAATCTTTCACTAAAAGCAGTTTTAAATTAAGATAGTTGATTAAACGAAAACACTATAAAAGCCAGGTAGACAATCATTTGATAATTTCAATTATAATTATTCAGATAAAAAGTATCATAAAGATAATGTTATTATTCTTAAACCCTAAATAAATCACACAAATTTAACAGCCAAAAACTTTAAAGGAATGCACATAACTTTTTCATTTCCACATCACGACAGTCACGAAAAACTATTATTTTTAATTGCCATAAAGAACGATACATTTGCTTGTATTGAAATATTTTTTCAGATTTAAACGACTTGTTGTTTAAACGACTTAGGTCGCAAAAATCATTATTGTCATAAACTGATTACATGAAAATAATGTCTCTCAAGCTTGTGACTGAATATTTATGCAGCTTGAAAAACCTTCTTTAAAATGTGATAAGGAGCATTATGAAACCGGTAGGGTATTTTCACATATCGTACCATAAAAACACCCCAAAATCGAATAAGTATTCCAAGTAGTAAAGTAATGGTTAAGGCAGCAGGCTCTCACAATGTCCAAAAGGGATACACAATAAGTATGTGTAGGAGGGTCCACTTCGAAGGAACATGTCCAAACCTGTTCGCTACTTGTTTTCATTTCAGAACTGGTTTTTTTCTAGGCTGATGCAACACTGGGGATGTGTGGAGCGGTACTTACTACTTTATCTCAAATTGGGGTTTATTCGATATAGCCGTCGAGTCTTATTTACGCCTATGAGTATAAATGTAATATTTAGAGGTTATCAAGGACTCAAAATAAATTAAATAATTGTAGCGGACGAAGTTATACTAATTCACTATATTCAGCTATTCACCTAAATCAATCAGATTTTTAACATCAATGTTGAATTACTTATATAGTAGGTTCGTAGACGTAGCATTGAAGTCAAAAGCTTATTATTTGTCAAAGACATTGTCCGTGTCACGTACACTTCTGTCCGGATAGCGGACGCCTTAAGTGAAGGCTGAAAAAAGATTTTATGTTCATATGCACACGCAGCAAACGACTGCACATTCGGAACATTACAATGCAATATGATTTTAACGAGTTTGCTCATTTTATTTCTGTTAATTTAAAAACGTTAAATTGTTTTTTTATTGCTAATTAATATTTTAAATTAACTTGCACATTAAAAAATCAATTCTTACTATTTACATACAGGTATTATTTGTATATTTAATTTATTTTTAAATGTTTTAACCACTTAAATGTTAATATAAATGTATAAAATTAACTAACTTCATCGTATATAAACATTGTCCCATTTCGTTAGAGCAAGTATAATGCTGTGCATTGTAATGTCGCGGTTAGTGCACGTTAGATTTCTAGCTATTGTCACTTATTTTTTGCCTGGTTATACGGCCAATGTTTGTCTCGATCAATATGTATGGTACGTCGATTGCGACGAACTTGGCCAAACTCATTAGCAATTTTAGGTGTGATTTTAGAGCCGTGTTTATGTTTCCAACACGTGTCCATTGTATTTATATTTGTATTAATTCCGACCAACTTTAAGTGACCTTGTTAGATTAGAACGACACTGTAGATTAATGTGCTTCATACCGTTTGTTGGGAGTTATTAACTTTATGCTCATATTGTTAGCTTGTAAACGTGTGATTTAAGGCAAATAAAACGTATTACCATTATTGTTGGTTTTATTTTTTCTCCTATTTACAGAAAACTCTAGAACAAAGAATAACTTTTTTAGAATTAATAGTATTACTTAATTAATCTAAAAATTTTCGTAATTGGCATATTTAAACTTTAAAACACATTACCTTTAATTAACTTTTAAAAGTTATTTTGAAGTAGCGAGTGAATCATAATGAGATTTATTTAAAGGAAAGAAATATCCGGTACACAAATCGTTTACTAGTTTTTAATAACATTCAAAAATAAGAGGTTTTTGTCTATTTGACATTTTATGGTTTTGTAATAAATTAGTATAGTTAAGATATATAATACACTAGCGGACTCGACATTCGTCCTGACTAGTTGCAATATTAGTAAAATAACCTAGACACTGCTCGCTGCGCCATCTGCCGGGCTAATTTGTGAATTTAACCCATCTAGGGCGTCACCCAAATACAAAAAAAAACATTCAAATTAGAGGCTCAGCCGTTTAAGAGGATTTCAGTGACATTCACACGTACAGTAGAATTATATATATAAAGATTTTAACTTATGTATGACTGTTACCTAAATATTTAAAATTAGGATTTAAATTACAAATTTTAGAATAGTAGGCTCGTACAGGAATACCTTATTCCGGCTTTAAATGTTTACTCTATACCTATTATATTATGTGTACATAAATTACAACCTAAAATGCTGTTTTAAACTGATATGCAATATAATATAATACAGAAGAGTATGATAATATACGTAGCATAGAATATGTTATTTATTTATTCATGGCCATATAAACTGGCAACCCCTTTTCCTAAGTTCTATTCACTATTGTTTCAGTAAGTTTATTCGCCTATAAAACATTGTCTTCTTGTTAAAGCGGTGAAGCTTTCACGCTTAGAGCTTCGTGGAAGCGGTTAATTGATCTGGGATTTGATAGGTTTATGTGATTATTCACATTGGAAATTTAGTATATTGAAATGTGTATTTGAAGTTAATGGACCTAAAACCCCTTAGTGGTACAATAATAAAGAACTTAGTAATCCTAGGCGATCGCATTAATGGTTCATTCATTTTATATAAGTAGGTATGTTAAGTTTATAACTTATAAGTTATTATGGTAATAGTGAAAACAACGGGTTTTTATATTTATTTAATATAAATATGAGAAAATTTTTTTTTAACACTCATAACTTTAAATAATTCATTAATTTTCTTAACGACTCTCAAGATTATATGTATTCATATTATATATTGCTGCTATAATATATCTTTGTTACGTAAAACTTGGGTTTCAACAGTATTTGTCTACCTTATAATGTATAAGAACTATTTATTTATCAAAACCTAAACATAACAATAAAATATAAGAACAAGAGAACAGGAAGAGTTCTGATTCTGGTCATCTTAGCGGGAGGTACTGAGGGTAGGTTCACCACATATTTCATTTATCATAGTGTCGGCGTGTACCTACCGGCGATAAAACATTCAAAAACGTACACATTTAAGCCCCATTCCATCGACGTTTATTCATTTAAAATACATTAAAGAGATTACCAATAATCCAGAATAGCTTAAACTAATATCCACATTATAGTCTCTATGTTGTGAGCAGGTAATCATATTTAGCGTGCGTGGGTCGAAATCACCGGTATTTTGGGCTATTCAATTGATTTATGCACGCAAATGGCTACCGTATATTCGGGTAGCGCTTAAAATTTAATCGTACAGTGATTGTTGCAGCGCATTCGGCCGCTTTATTATGATAAATTACTCGAACAGGTTTTAAGTGCTTTACGCTTGAATTATTAATCTTTCGTTGCTTGGGTATAGTTAACGTACGAATAGTTTTTGTTTTTTCTTCATATAAATCATTTATATAATCGATTTTATTTCTATTATAAATCTTGGGTTTTAAGTAAGTTTTTGGTAGGAATGTTTTAATGGGCAATTTGAAAGTTAACTTTTTGATAACTCCATGACTAAATGATTGGAAAAGCGATTTAATAAAAATTGCACCCTCCACTAAAGTTTTTGTGTTATCAACAAAGGTATTCTTTGTTCAGCGTTCAGTACTACCGAAAATATACGGCCATTACAGTGGCCTGAATGCGATTTTGATCTTTATTCCATGGCAATAAGGATGCTATTCCTATAACATTTACCAACAAAGTTTTGGTTAATGCTGCATGGTAACAAAAGTTATAATTACGACTCTGCATAATAACGAATCCAC